ATATTAACCACGCACGGACCCCTCGTTAAAAAACAAAAATCGACATGCTGTTGCAAGCTTTTTTGTTTATAACACTGAACTTCGATGAGCATGCTAAGATATGCACTCCTCCAGCACAGAACTCCATAGCCAGTTTCGGCAGCGAAACACGAATCCGCGCCTTCACTGTCAACGTGCATCATGTGCGGTTAACATTTGTTTAATTGTTCCGGCTGATCGCAAGATTCCTTGAGATTTTTTATGATTCCCGGTGATTCCCGGTGATTCTTGGTGATTCCCGCTGATTTTTCATTGATTCCCGGTGATTCCCGGTGATTTCCGGTGATTCCTGGTGATTCCTGGTGATTCCCGGTGATTCCCCTTGATTCCCTTGATTCCCACATGATTCCCGTGATTCCCGTGATTCCCGCATGATTCCAGCATGATTCCCGGTCCGGTGTACACATGATTCCCGGAGTTATTGCCCCCTCGGCCTCAACCAATTCAGCTTGGCCTGTTTTTAAATTCCTCCCAGCCCGCCCTCCGGCCTGCACCGAGCTGCACCAGAGATAGTGGCTGTGGTTTAGGGCAGAGAGGAAGAGAAAAGGGGGCCACGCGGGCGCAAAACAAAACGTACGACTCGCGGGCTATCCTCCTCCTCCTCCTTCTCCTCGGGTGTGGCCCTGCAAAGGAGGTGAAAGGGAACGCCAACTGTAAGAGCGCAATGCTTTTGGGGATTTTCTAATCCCCTTTCAAGGCAGTTCATAGGGTTGGGATATCACTTCACTATGTTATTGTTCATACAGGTATGAATAGAATTTATGAGAAGACTTTCCCGACAGAATTCTCTTTCGTTTGATAAAATGTTTCAATTTTGAAGTGCACTTGTAAATCCGAAGTTTTGTACAAATGTCGCAGGGGCACCCGCAGGTGTGCGATAGAAATTTTACTCACCCGCAGAGGTGCGAATGGCCATTCACACACTTGGTGGCGGATATATGGCTGCCCTTTTAAGTGTACGAATCTCTACATTCGCTCAAATACACATGAGTGATTATATTACCACACACCTGCAGGTGAGTGATTTTCGTACACTAGGATATCCAGTTGTAGCGAGTTTGAGAAGTGTGCCGCAGTACTCACGTCGAGGCTGATGCCCTGCAGAGGGAAGGTCCTGGTGCGCGGCGACTCGCCCGGGGTGTAGCGAAAGAACTCGCGCTCGTCCTTGTACCACTTGACGGAGTTGAGCGTGGCGTCGCCCAGGTCGTGGTGGCACACGAGCTCGGCCGTGTCGCCAACGTCCGCGTGGTCAGGCACCGACAGCTCCGTGATCTGCAGCCCGCTCGCAGCTGCAACCAAGCAAGAGACAAGCAAGATGAGAATGTGTAGTCGAATGATGGGGGTTTACGACAAATTAACAAAAAGTTTTGGAAAAGTGGGAATGATTCTATTCATAAGCAAATAAAACCCCCCAAAAGGAACGATACATCACGAAAGCACTTGCTGGAGCCATTCCTGGCATTTTTACATGGTGGGTAGTTCTGTCTACCTTGTCGTCTCTGGTGCAGCTTTGAGACGATGAATCAAGAAGGAAAAGTCGTCTCCTGGGAATAGAGTCACCTCGGTCTGAGTGGGCGAGCACCGCCTAGCTCACCTAATTCATATCAATTACATTTCAACGGCTCTAAAGTTATTACCTTGCCACTACTGCCCCGGTGGTCCCCGCCGCGCTCAGCGAGGCAAACTTTCCCTGCAGCAAGTGCGGGCGGCGGGGCGGAGGCAGGAGAGA